ATATATATATATATATATATATATATATATATATATATAATATTGACTATTATGGTCAATATTATTGGCCCCTTCAGCAATATTAGTGTTGGATTGTCTCCAGAACAAACCACTGTTATACAATGACTTGCCTAATTACCCTAACCTGCCTAGTTACCCTAATTACCCTAGTGAAGCCTTTAAATGTCACTTTAAGCTGTATAGAAGTGTCTTGAAGAATATCTAGTCTAATATTATGTGCTGTCATCATGACAAAGAGAAAATAAATCAGTTATTAGAGATGAGTTATTAACACTGTTATGTGCAGAAATGTGTTGAAGAAATCTGCTCTCTGTTACACAGAAAATTGAGGGGGGGGGGGTCTAATAATTCTGACTTTAACTGTATATCTTTATTCATCAACCTTGTCAAACATTTTGCTGTTCCAGTGAGTTTAATTTGACATTAAACACCAACCAGTTCACAAGCATGATTATTAGAGATGTGTTAATCGAGCAGAACGAGAATTATTTAGGGTAAATTCAATCGGGGACATCCAGTGTGTTAAATTTAGCTCTAACAATGTCTTCAGCGTCATGTATTTTAACTGTCACTTTAGCATGATGTTATTTTAATCAACAAACATTAATATTTCTGTTTGGTTTAAAATTTTGCATATGATCTGTTCATTCATTCATTTTCTTTTCAGCTTAGTCCCCTACTAATCTGGGGTCACCACAGCGGAATGAACCACCAACTTATCCAGCATATGTTTTACACAGCGGATGCCCTTCCAGCTGCAACCCAACACTGGAAAACACCCATACACATACCTTCACACACAAACACTACGGACAGTTAAGCCTACACAATGAATTGACCTATACTACATGTGTTTGGACTGTGGGGGAAACTGGAGGAAACCCACACTAACACGGGGAGAACATGCACACTCCACACAGAAACACCAACTGACCCAGCCGAGACTCAAACCAGAGACCTGAGTGCTGTTATATTATATATTATCTGAAATGCAAAAAACAATAATTTGGTTACAGTGGTGCAAATCACTACAATGTTAAACAATTTTAGTTTAAAATGAATTAACACAGCAGATCATTAATTCCGTGTAGAGAGAGTTATTTTCCTAATACTGAAATATACATTTATTTTTAAATAATACTTGAATTGCTTATTGAAATTTCTGCTGTTGTCATTAACTTAATACATTTTAACGAAAAGTGATATTTCCCAGTGATGGGTTGCAGCTGGAAGGGCATGCCTCGTGCAAAACATATGCTGGATAAGTTAGCAGTTTATTCCACAGAGGCTAACCCAGATTAATAAAGGGACTAAGCCGAAAAGAAAATGAATGAATGAAAAAGTATGGTGAATATAGTAACACTAGTTTGATGGTCCATTTGAGTATTATCTGCTGATATTGCTGCTAAGCCTATTTTACTGACTATAAAAAGCTTTGCAAGTACATGTCAACTTACACTAACTCTAATCCTAACCCAACCATAACCCCAACCTAACAGACTACTTATAATCTAACGAGAATTAGTTAGCATGTTTTCAGTGTAACTTAAGTTCAACCAACAGACCATCAGAATAAAGGGTGACTTTAAATATAGACATTTATATGACTAATACTTATAATAGTCCCAGATTATCAAATTCAGGCATGCCCAAAAAACAGTTTAAGGTGTGGCGTGTCACTTCTGCTATAATACATCAGCTAAAGCGCTTCATGTGAGCCGAAACCCAAACAAGTTATGTTTTCTTCCTGCTTGAACTTGTCCAGGATTGTTTGTTTTGTATTAGGCTACAGAATCTGAATCTTTACACTCCTTTAATAAAATCATGTTTACATTAGCTATAGCCTTAAGAAGACTTTCTCTTAAATAAGCCAATTCTTATCAAGTAACGACTTTATTCATGCAGTTTAAATCAGCTTCAGCAGATGAAGAGTGAAGTGTTTTGCTTTCATGACTGGCAGAAACTGAATCAGTGTATTTACACAAACACAGTGGACCACTACACATTTACTGAGGGGTGTGCAGGTTACATCACATCCCACCCAAATTTCTTCTTAATTTCATTTTGCCCACTACTCACTTCTCGCATGCATGGTGTAAGGTCTGTATTTGCATGAACAACTGACTGAGACTGCTATTACACCGCTCACTAAGTGAAATAAAGAAGACTGTAAAATGTTTTGTGTTAAAAATAAACAGAGACAACCTGCCTGAAATGTTCTATTTCATCAAAATGTTATAAGCAAACCTTTTTTGTAAGTAAATTGAAATAGTTTTGAGCAAATATAACCTGATGTATCATTTAAAAAACATCTATACGGTGAAAAAAAAAAAGATCTTAATACAAAGATTAATAAACATCTCAGTTAAAACAAAATGTGAATATTCTGACTATTTGTTATTGTGTCCGTTTGGGTTAAGAATCATTATAATCAAGTATATAAAATTTATATCAGGGAAATGATTAATAATAAATAAAGAAAAATGTAAAAAAAAATCTCAAATTTACAATAATTATTTTTAATCTAAATGTTATTCTCTATGTTATCTGAAATATTTTGAGGACTGTACTTACATAAACAAACATTTTGTGTGATCCCTCTATTGGCAAAATAATTAATTATTTAATAATAATAATAATAAATAAATAAAGAGAATTTTTCAGATTCTTCTTATAAATTTTGAATGCATGTATGATTTAACTGTTTATTTTGATAAAAATGTTAAACAGTTCCATCTACATGAACACTACACTTATCTGTGTGACTGCATGTTATTGTGTTAAATGATTTTGAATTAAAACGTGTGTGTCAACTAATGCTACTCATAGTAACAAAAAAATAAATAAAATACAATATTATACTCGTACACAATGCAATATAAGCATTTATATATATATATATATATATAGTATTTTAAACTTTTAATAAGGATAATTTTAAAAAGTAGTTTTGGTGCCGCATATACTGCACACCCCCTTTTTGCGCCGCTGCACGAACATGTTTATAATTCAGTGTGAACTTGTTATACAGTGCATACACTGGGTTATTACAGTTTACTAAACTACAACTATAAAACTAAAATCTTTTTGTTTATCGACATATGTTAGTGGGTGCGAGTATGAATTGATTTACATCTTCATGTCTTTTCCACCCTCAGCTTTACTGATGGTGATTCCTGTGGCACCTGTAAGGCAAGGCACACACACACACAGATCTGTCAGAAGCAATTTTTATTCACTGTCTATATTTATATATATATATATAATGAAAATAAAGCATTTTAAGTATTTTTGAATACTGTATGATATTTATTTACACAGTCATAACTATAAAATTATTAGTAATAAATAGTAACAGCAATACCAGAATGGGAAAAATAGCATTTAATCAAAATAACCCAATGCGTTGGGTTAAATCATATAACCCAATGTGCTATAATACCCTATAGTTGGGTTATATGATGGGGTGTTTTTAACCCAGCTATTTTTACAGAGTATAGTAGTATTCAGAGTATGAAAGTGTTGTTATAATTGTGAATATGTGACAGTCTAAAAACAGTAAATAAAGGATTTTGTAGACTAAAGACAGTTACTGTCATCTTAAAGGCTCAGTAAAGATGTCTGAAATGATGAATGGGTTATTTAATTGGCCTACCTGTCTCCTCATCACTGGAGGTTAACTGTTTTCCCTCTTTATCTGCGCTGCTCTTTAGGCCCTCCACTGCTGCTGCTGATGAATATGATGATGATGATGATGATGATGGCACGGCTTCATTTGTTTCTGTTTTTTGTGCTGTACAGATGTGAGCACCCATGTATGAGCTTAAGCTTTTCCTGAATTAGATCACTTTCCTTAAACTCACTTGCGACATGAACTGGCTGGAAGTATGTGACGCTACACCCGCCCACTGTTTGGCTTTCACACCCACACATGCTAATTTATTCATCTCTCCTGAATTGTATTGCGCTGTGTAGTTTATTAAACACTTTTGTTGTAAAGTGCAGCATATTCGTGTTGTCCTTTTAACTGTGTTCACTTTAAATAGTCTTAAAACATCGCAACTCCTCTCACAGAAGCGTCTGAGGTGTATAGGCTGCTGCTAATGAGCATAAACATGAACACATCATTTACTGGGTTAAATCTGTTACTGATGGGGAAATCAGCGCTGTTATCCATCGAGAAAACTACATTTACTTCTTATATTTGTAATATTATTCTGTAGCAGGGTGGTGGCGCAGTGGGTAGCACAATCGCCTCACAGCAAGAAGGTCGCTGGTTCGAGCCTCGGCTGGGTCAGTTGGTGTTTCTGTGTGGAGTTTGCATGTTCTCCCCGTGTTGGTGTTCTCCGGGTGCTCCGGTTTCCCCCACAGTCCAAACACATGCGCTATAGGGGAACTGATCAACTACACTGGCTGTATTATACTGTATGTGAGTGGGTGCAAGAGTGTGTATGGGTGTTTCCCAGTACTGGGTTGCGGCTGGAAGGGCATGCGCTGTGTAAAACATATGCTGGAATAGTTGGCGGTTCACTCCGCTGTGACAACCCCAGATTAATAAAGCCAGTTGATTTTTATTTGTTTATTTTCTTATTTTATATGAACTTTTTGTGTCGCAGGGTTTATCTAAACAAACTTTGTTATTGTATAATTAAATAATTCACTTTATAACGTTATGCACATTTTTTCAGTCTCAGCACCGATAAACTTCCTGTGAAAGATTAATGTGACTATTTGCAATTTCAAAGGTTTCTTTTACAGCATCGATAGTGTAATTTAATTAAATTACAGTCGGTTAAATCAGGATTATTTTAGTTGTTAAGGACCCTACAGAAAAAAACTGCTTAAACCTGCCTAGGCTGGTTGGTGTGCTTTAGCTGGTAGACCAGGCTGGTTTTAGAGGGGTTTTAGCCATTTCCGGGCTGGTTTCCAGCCAAAATGACCAGCTAAAACCAGCTATGTCCAGCTTAAACCAGGCTGGTTACGCTAGATTTAGTTGGTCATTTTCCAGCTAAGACCAGGCTGGAAATGGCTGTAAACCCCTCTAAAACCAGCCTGGTTAACCAGCTTAAACCAGCCAACCATCCTAGGCAGGTTTAAGCTGGAATTTTCAGCAGGGGAGTAAACGAAATAAAAGCACACGCAAGCACTTAAACACTCACTGTGAGTAGCACGAGGCTAGCGCAGGAACTCAGTGCAGTTACTGCAGTGCTTTATGTCCGGTAAGTGACCTATTTTATATTTGACATTAAACCAGATATTAAACGCAGTGAGTTGACATTGGACGTTGGCGTGGCTGTTTCCGAAGTGCCAAACTGGTTTATTCAAAATTATAATAACAACACGTTTATCCAGCAGGGGGCGCCAATGATTCGCTGACTCTCATTAACCGCAATGAAGAAGAGCTGCATCATCATCATCATCATCATCATCACGTGCTTCACACTGATCACGGTTAGTTAATTAATTAGTACATAATATTTAAAACTGTCCACATCTGACAACAACACTGACGAGGTACAGACAAAAATCTGTTATTTAATATCATAAATATAACAGCTGCTGCAGAAACCTAATATAATCGTCTGTCAATGATTATATAATTACACGTCATAACATAAATGTACGCTGAACTGATGTATATTAATGATATTCAAATGTGATATTTAAATAAATAATACATCACTATCAGTATGTAGAGTGTTACAGTTTACCTTAAATTCACCATAGTAATAGAATAATGCAGCATGAGTAATAACTGACATGAATAAGCGCTCATGTGAAGGCGGATGATCTTCATAACAGCATTATTAAAGATGATTTGAGGATAATGAATAAAGTAAAGTGTATTTCTCTGCTGTAGATCGAGCTGAGAGCAGAAAACATCAGTGAGTATTGATATGATGAATCAGTATGTGAATTATGAGTGAGATATGATTAATAATGATGACTGTGACTGTGTTTCAGTGAAGAACATCCAGCAGATCCTCCAGAGAAACCCTGCAGTAAGAACAAACACTGCTGGACACTCATTTCTACACACATTTCTACAGCTATTACACTTTCTACACTCATTACAACAATTCTGTTCTTATTTCTACAGTTCTGCACTCAATTCTACAGTAATCTCTACAATATTTGTACAGTCTTACACACATTTCTACAATCATTTACACAGTAACTTCACTCATTTCAACAGTCCTGTACTCAAATTTACATTTCTAAAGTCACTTCTCCATTACATTCTACAGCAACTTCTACAATAATTTTCCATGTCTAAAGTCATTTCTACAGACATGTCCACTGTAATCTCTTCATTTCTACTGTAATTTCTCTTTTTTAAAGAGTTTTTAAGTAATTTCTCAATTTCTACACTTTTCTACAGTACCTTTGCCATCATTTCTATTGTGATTTCCACTCTCCGCCTTTCCTACAATCATTTCTGCATATTTTCAATCATTTCTACAATTATTTCTAAAAATTCTTCAATTTCTAAAATACTTTTTTCATCATTTGTACAATAATTTCTGCATTTATATTTCTTCATTTATACTGTCACTATAATCATTTCTCCATTTCCACAGTCATTCCTACAATTATATCTGAATTTTTAAAGCCATTTCTACAGTCATTTCTACAATTACTAATATAGTAATTTCTTAATTTCAACATTTCTACAGTAGTTTCTTTATTTCTACAGTCATTCCTCCATGTCTAAAGTGATTTCTACAGACATTTCTACTGTAATGTCTCCATTTCTACAGGGATTTCTTCATTTTTACTGTAATTTCTCCATTTGTAAAGTTTTTTTTAGTAATTTCTCCATTTCTATACTCATTTCCACAATAACTTTACAGTAATGTCTATAGTAATTTCTACTGTCCTTTCTACAATCATTTCTGCATTTTTCCAGTCACTTCTACAATTATTTATACGGTATTTCTACATTATTTCTCAATTTCTAAAATAATTTCTTGTCATTTCTACAATAATTTCTACATTTGTATTTCTTCATATATACTATCACTTCTTAAATCATTTGTCCATTTCCACAGTAATTTCTACAATGATTTCTGCATTTCTAAAGCCATTTATACACGTACTATAATTTCTATAGTAATTTTGACATTTGTACAATTATTAAATTTTTACAGTAAGTTATACAATATAATATATATATATATATTTTTAATTTCTATAGTAATTTCTACTGTCCACAGGAATTTGTCAACTTTTAAAGCCATTTCTACAATAATTTCTAGTAATTTCCAGTTTAAATCGTGCACAAGCACCTACACATGTTTATTATTTGCTTGATAGTTTATAGTTTTAATTGATCAATTAAATGGTATTTTTTATAATAAATGTACACTAGCCTGTAGGATCGAATATGAGGCTAAAATACAAAACACACACACACACACACACACACACACACACACACACACACACACACACACAAACACAAACACACACACACAAACACACACTATATATTGATTATTACTATGTGTGTTTGTTTGTCTATTCCAGCAGGGGGCGCTGTGTTTTTCCAGCTCTCGCCCAGCAGGACTGATGCAGATCAGGTTAACATGACAGTTTAATTCACTTTATATATATATATATATATATAACCTTTATTTTACCAGGAAAACCTTTTCAAGAGTGTCCTGGGTAAAATAAATTTATATAAAATACAATTAAATTAACAAACTATATAATTTTACTCTCATTGTGGAAAGAGTAAAACCTGCTAAACTGGCACTCTTAATTAAGTATTTTATTGAATAAGTATTTTATTTGATTTCAATTATTAATTTTTAATAGTTTAATAGTTAATGATAATAACTCTTTGGCCTTTACCTGCTAAAAGCACACAATCAACACACAGAAAGATCACTTATAAACAATATATACATTACAAACTTAATAAAAACACTAAAATAATTAATAAGTGTTGTATATAAAGTGTTATCTTTTAGTATAATTAACGGAATATTAGCAATAAATATAATAATAAATATGTTAATATATCTCCTTATACTTATGTTCTGTTATATAACTTTATTAAATATTAATGTTCAGTTATTATTGTAGATGAATGAAGTAAATGTAGATGAATGATGCTGTGTTTTATGTTCAGGGCTGGTTTGGGTTTTCGGGCTCGTCCTCAGTTTAGACCTGATGAAGACGCTCTGCTGCAGGCCATCAGGAGCTTACACCACCGGTCAGACACACACACACACACACACACACACACACACACACACATACATACACTTATACACACACAACCTACTAAAGAAAACAATTCCCAGTACTGGGTTGCAGCTGTAAGGGCATCCGCTGTGTAAAACATATGCTGGAATAGTGAGTGGTTCATTCACCTGTGACGAGAATGAATGTGTATGGGTGTTTCCCAGTACTGGGTTGCAGCTGTAAGGGCATCCGCTGTGTAAAACATGTGCTGGAATAGTCAGCGGTTCATTCAGCTGTGGCGAGAATGAATGTGTATGGGTGTTTCCCAGTACTGGGTTGCAGCTGTGAGGGCATCCGCTGTGTAAAACATATGCTGGAATAGTCAGCGGTTCATTCAGCTGTGGCGACCCCTAATGAATAAAGGATTAAGCCAAAGGAAATTAAATCAATGAATGAATGAATCAATTCCAGCTGAAGGAAGATGAAGAACAAATGTCTGAAGTGAAAGTTAAACCCTGCTGTTGTGTTGTGTGATCAGGCCTGAAGGAGGGGCCAGCACACACCAGACTCACCGCTTCACCAGCAGCAGAAAGAAAATCACCCAGAGTGGGTCAACATTACCCAGAGCCCATAGTAACCCTCAGCGCTTCACTATTAACACTAGCGGATCAACACGTCTGTTCAACACCAGCAGCTCAACGCTAACCAGACCAGCACAGGCTAGCACAGGTCAGAGCTAAACACTGCACATTCACACTCTATACTCACATGCTAACAACTAACATGCTAATAACATGCTAGCTAAACCAAACACATTCATTATTTGTTAAAATATGGTAACATTCAAGCATTGCGTTAACACATGCTAACAGCTTAACTGACAAAGCACGCTGACATGTTTAAATTGCAGAAAACATGCTAAAAACATGTTAAAACATTGGTAAAACATGCTTGAAACATGTTAAACGTACTAACTTTTTAAAACATGCTAGAACTTTTGTACTACTAGCAACTCAATACAGACCAGGTCAGATCTAAACACTAATCACAATCTATACTCACAAGATGTTAAAAAAATGCTAGTTACATGTTTTAACATGCTAACTGCTTTCCAAACTATACTTTTTAAAAACTATACTAACTTTTCAAAACATGCTAGCAACATGTTCAGAAATGCCAATAAATTGCTAAAACATGCTAACAACATGTTAAAGCATGACAACAACATACTAGCAACTTGGATGCTAAAAACATGTTCGAACATGTTGCAAAAACATGCTAGCTACATATTAAAACATACTTGGTAAAACATGTTAGTAACTTTTAAAAACGTAAATGTGCAAATTTATTAAACATGCTAGTTACTCATTCAAATATGCTATCATGTTGCAACATTGTGTTAAAATGTGCTTTGCTAAAAACAGCTTGCTAAAGCATACTTGACAAAAGATGTTAACCACATGTTCATACTTGCTAAAAGTTGTGCAACAATGTTAACATGTTAAAACATAATAAAAACATACTAGCGACTTCCCTGTTAAAAACATGTTCAAACATGCTAAAAGTTGAGAAACAATGTTAACAAGATGGTAAAACATGTTATCAACATACTAGCAACCTGGAATGCTAAAAACATGTTCAAACATGTTAAAAATTGTGAAAAACATGCTAGCATGCTACAAGCATCTTGGTAAAAACCAACATGCCAAGAAATACAAGCATAAATACAAAGTTAAAGCATACTCATAACTTGTTGAAACATGCTAGAAACTTTGTAAAACTTAAATATGGTGTAAATTTCATTATTCATTTTAGATACTTATTCAAATATGCTAACATACCAGCAACATGTTGAAACATGCTAACAGCTCGCTAAAGCATACTTGACAAAACATGCTAAAAATTACGCAACGATGTTAACAGGATGTCAAAACATGATAACAACATACTAGCAACATGCTAACATATGACAATGTACTCAAACATCCTAAATAAAACAGGCATGCTTAAAACATTTTAAAAACTTACTAAAGTATACTAAAACATGTTTTAACATGCAAACTTGTTAAAACATGTTAGCAACTTTGTAAAACGTAAACGTGTAAATTAATAAAACATGTTAGTTTCTTGTTCAAATATGCTATCATGTTTCAACATTGTGTTAAAGTGTGCTAACAGCTTGCTAAAGCGTACTTGGCAAAACATGCTAACCACTTGTTCATACGTGCTAAAAATCGTGCAACAATGTTAACATGTTAAAACATGCTAACAACATATTAGCAACTTGCATGCTAAAAACATGTTCAAACATGCTTCAATTGGGAACAATGTTAACAAGATGGTAAAACATGCTAACAACATACTAGCAACCTGGAATGCTAAAAACATGTTCAAACATGCTAAGAATTGCGAAAACATGCTAGCATGCTACTAGCATCTTGCTAAAAACCAACATGCCAAAAATACAAGCATAAATACAAAGTTAAAGCATACTCATAACTTGTTGAAACACGCTAGAAACTTTGTAAAATTTAAATATGGTGTAAATTCATCATTCATGTTAGATACTTGTCAAAATATGCTAACATACCAGCAACATGTTGAAACATGCTAACAGCTCGCTAAAGCATACTTGACAAAACATGCTAAAAATTACACAACAATGTTAACAAGATGTCAAAACATGATAACAACACACTAGCAACACGCTAAAATATTATAATAACAACATGCTAAAACATCTTAAATAAAACAGGCATGCTTAAAACATGTCAATATCTTACTAAAGCATACTAAAACATGTTTAAACATGCAAACTTGTTAAAAACATGTTAGCAACTTTGTAAAACGTAAACGTGTTAATTAATAAAACATGCTAGTTTCTTGTTCAAGTATGCTATCATGTTTCAGCATTGTGTTAAAATGTGCTAACAGCTTGCTAAAGCGTACATACAAGCAACATGCTAAAATATAACAACATGCTGAAACATCCTGAATAAAACAGGCATGGTTAAAACATGTCAATATCTTACTAAAGCATACTAGAAAGATGTTTAAACATACAAACCTTTTAAAGCATGTTAGCGACTTTGTAAAACACACTAAAAACTTTGTAAACATGCACACATGCTAGAAACATGCTAAAGCATACCAGCGACTTTACAAAACATTTTGACAAATTGTCACCATTATAGCAGCTTGTTTAAATGTTACGCATTGCTTCAATTGGCTAGCAACGTAAAAAAAAACATGCTAGCAATCTTAAAACATGTTGATTACATTGCAAATCATGCTTTTCTTGCTTATAATTTGTCTTGTTTCTAGTCCAAATATTTAAAAACTCTTAAATCAGTCAGCATTTTCTAGACAAGCGCCAACTACTGTCTTGATATTTGATATTTGGACTAAAAACAAGCCAAAAACTGTAACACAATGATCGTCAGTGACGTTAAACAAAACCAATCAAGAACTCTTTTACGATGTGTATTAAAGCTGTATTTATCAGCGTTCAGTAGCTGAGTTTAGCCGGAGTGTGTGTTTAATAATCCGCCCTGTTCAAGGCTCTTTCTTCCGCCTGTGAAAGTCTTTAAAGTCTTTATTTATGTGGTGTTAAGAGGCGGCTTCACTACAGGCCTGTGTTTTGTAGCCGTCGTCACTCATACGGCCAGAATGTGTCGCCTCGTTTTACACACACAATAAAAGCTGAAACACACAGAGGCCATTCTGCAGAACCAGACGCTCATTAACACACACACACACACACACATGCAGGAGAAGTGCTGGACATACATTATTTACTTTATTATTTATTTATTAACCTTCCTGAATATTTTTCCCCCTATTTCTGTTTAACAGAGAGCAGATTCCCTCAACACATTTCTGCTCATAACAGTGTTAATAACTCATCTCTAATAACTGATTTATTTTCTCTTTGTCATGATGACAGTAAATAATATTAGACTAGATATTCTTCAAGACACTTCTATACAGCTTAAAGTGGCATGTAAAGGCTTCACTAGGGTAAAGTTAGGGTAAAGTTAGGGTAATTAGGCGAGTCATTGTATAACAGTGGTTTGTTCTGGAGACAATCCAACACTAATATTGCTGAAGGGGCCAATAATATTGAGCTTAAAAAGAGTTTAAAACCATTAAAAACTGCTTTTATTCTAGCCCAAATAAAACAATTCAGACTTTCTCCAGAAGAACAAATATTAGAGGAAACACTGTGAACAACTCCTCAATCTGTTCAACATCATTGGGAAATATTGAACAAAGAAAATTCTCAAGAGGGCAAATAATTTTGACTTTAAATCTCTTTTATTAGGGGTTTAAACACAGTTATTAAGACTTTGTTCTATTCTGCGCACAATAACTCTGTGGTAAATTAATTAACTCCATTATTAATCTTTAATTTGGTACTGTGAAAAATTGTGTTACTTAAAAGTACTTAAAAGTCACTTTAATATTACATTTATAGTGCAAAATAATCTTTAAAAAAAATCTAATTCTAATAATTCTTTCCAACCAGGTTTAATAAACGCCCTGTCTTCCATTATTCAGAGAAGCAGTCTAAATTCCTCTTTCTCTCTCAGTTCCTCTTCATTCAGTGCAGTGACGGATTTAGGCACAGGCAATACGGGCGATTGCCCAGGGCGGCATCTTGCTAGGGGCAGCACGGGGAGATGGTGCAAAAAAAAATAAACGTCCCGAAGTGAAAGCTTTGAGATACGATTTACTTTATGCAAGTGTATTAATGTAGAGTAGTAATCTCAGAATAAAGACGTTAGGGGTCGTTCACATTTGGTATTTTTTGCATGCACAAATTTGTTATTCTCGATGTGCAACCGAAACAACACTGGTGAAAGCAAACTGACGCATGCATGCAGAAAACCATTCCCGCGCGCCTCACATGCACTCCTGTGTGAATCCTGGCTGTTTGCATGCTCGCTGATGAAATATGCACCGCTTTTGAACTGTAAAACTGGAGTAACAGCTTTTTGTTCAGTGGTGTCAGTACGCAGCGAGTTTTGCAAGTCGACAAAACTAAAGTTTATGTAATATGATGATGATGATGATGATGATGATGTTACATTCACTAAGCAGGGCTATAAAGCAGAAAGAAGGGATAATGAGTCAGGGAGCAAAGACTTCATTACATTAATTTTCAGCCATGAGTTGGGTATAAACAACAGATAATTCTATAAAACAGTGTGTGTATATATATTTTAATTCTATAGATTTGTCATAATATTCATGCAAAAGTTTGCCTACGGGATCTTAGGGGATCACTCCAGTTGTTACGTTGTTTTCCAGTATTATCCAGGATTGATTTCTGTTATTTATTTATTTTAGAATAATAATTGTATAATAATGTTATTAATAATAAATATAAATAACTTGTTATATTTACTGTAAAATTAATATAAAAATATAAGGGGGGGGGGGGTGCCATTTAACCTAGAACTGTCTCTGATTCAGTGTAATTACAGCATAAATCAGCAACAGATATAATCACCATGCTTTAGTTGTACCTTTGAGCTGTCTGGATGCAACTGGAAACCGCTGGAATCTGAATGAACTTGGTTGCTCAGGATGTTTGTTGTTTGTGGACGAGTGAGAGCCTGTAGAAACAGAGCGCAAGCATAAACACACTCAGAGTTATTCAGGAGTTGTTCAACACACTTCTCTGAGATATCCAGCACATTTACAAGCATGATGGTGTTTGAGAACTGCGTTACACAGGGACTGCTCTGCTCTGGTCTGCTTGAGTTTCTGTCAGAGCTGTTTATTCTCTGTTCTCTGGCTGTAGAGAGACAGCAGTCCTGCAGTGAAGCGTCTGAAGAAGCTCCTACACACACTTCTGCTTCAGCCAGCAAGGTATACTTCAAGTCAGGTTTAATATCATGATAAGTCCAATGAGCAATTATTGGTGCAGCAGAGAGTCTAAAAACACACAGCATTGTTACATCTCACAGATTTACAGAAGAAAAGACCCTCTATATCTATTGCTTCTTAATTTTAGGCATCCAAAACATCTAGAAGATCATTTTAAAGTCAGTAAACAAACAACGAGAACAGTCTACAAGTGTAGGCACACATATTCAGTAGGCTACTCTGCTTAATGACAATACCATTCACTAACTTCACATGTGTTTCCCCTACATTGCCAAACCAACAGCATATAGAAGAGCAAGACAGATTCAAAATATGATTTATAAAACAACTTCATAAGAGTCCTGTTAATATTAAAAGTGTATTACTTTACTTCTGTCCCAACACAAGTCTGTTACACACACAAAACACTGTGTAGTGCAGCCCAGAGTCATTCATGCATTCATTTTCCTTCAGCTTAGTCCCTTATTTATCAGGAATCACCACAGCGGAATGAACCGCCAACTATTCCAGCATGTTTTGCACAGCAGATGCCCTTTCAGCTGCAACCCAGTACTGAGAAACACCCATACACACTCATTCACACACACACACTCATACACTACGACCAATTTAGTTAATTCCCCTGTAGGGATGACATGGTCACCTCACAGCACTCAGGTCACTGGTTCGAGTCCCGGCTGGGTCAGTCGGCGTTTCATGCGCTATACAGTAGAAAATTGAATAAGCTAAAATTGGCCGTAGTGTATGGGTGTTTCCCAGTGTTGAGTTGCAGCTGGAAGGGCATTCGCTGCGTAAAAAATATGCTGGAATAGTTGGTGGTTCATTCTGCTGTGGCGACCCCTGATTAATAAAGTGACTAAGCCAAAAAAAAAAAGAATGAATTCCCCCTATAGTGCATGTGTTTGGATCACCCAGAGAAAACCCACGCTAACACAGGGAGAACATGCAAACTCCACACAGAAACACCAACTGACCCAGACAGGACTTGAACCAGTGACCTTCTTCCTGTAAGGGAGCAGAGATCTGTTCCTCTCTGAGGCTTATGTCTACAGTGTTGTCAGAGCACATCTCCTGTTTTGCAGATCTTCTTTTCTGATCAGGATGAGATTCCAGGTTTGGGTGATGAAGAGGAGGCTCTGACACCAATACAGACCATCAGACGCAGAGCTCAGGAGATGGAGGAGGTGCGTCCGCAACACTGCATGCTTTCATTTCAGAGGCGTCGAGATGCAACTAAACTAAACATGTCAGACCCTGTGTGGAATTTGTTTCAAACCTTTATTAGTTTCTTTCATCCATTGTACACAAAAGAAGATATTTTGAAGAATGTTGGAAACCGGTAACCATGGAAGTCAATGGTTACAGGTTTTCAACATTTTTCAAAATATCTTCTTCAGCGTTCAACAGCAGAAAGAAACTCTTAAAGGTTTGAAAATTCTTGTGGGAGAGTAAATAGTGAGTACATTGTATTTTTGGGTGAACTGTCTCTTTAAGTTAAAACCATAGAGGTAGAAAAATGTCAGCGCTTTAAGGCAAATTAAAGGGATACTTCACTAAAAAATAAACATTTGGTCATCATTTACCCATCATTCACTAGTTTCACACACATAGTTTCTTTCTGATGTTGAACACTAAAGAAGATGTTTTGAAGAATGTTGGAAACCGGTAACCATTGACTTCAGGACTATTTGTTTTTCCTTCTATGGAAGTCAATGGTTACCGGTTTCTAGCATTCTTCAAAATATCTTCTTTAGTGTTTAACAGTAGAAAGAAACTCATAAAGGTTTGGAAACTCTTGAAGCAGAGAAAATAATAAGTGAATTTATTTTTTGGATGAACTGGATCTTTAAGTTAAAACAATAGAAAGCTTTTACAGCAAAGCAGATTAAAGGGATAGTTCACTCAAAAATGTCAAATCTATCATTATTTAATAGTTTCAAACCATTGAGTTTCTTTCTTCTGTTGAACACACAGATATTTTGAATAATGCTGTAAACCTGTAACTATTGTTTTCAATAGTGTTTGTTTTTCCTACAATGAAAGTCAATGGTTACAGGTTTTCAACATTCTTTAAAATATCTTTTTCAGCGTTCAACAGCAGAAAGAAACTCTTAAAGGTTTTAAAATCTTGTGGGAGAGTAAATAGTGAGTACATTGTATTTTGCGGTGAACTGTCTCTTTAAGTTAAAACCATAGAGAAAAATGTCAGCAAATTAAAAGGATTGTTAACTCAAAAATGAACATTCAGTCATCATTTACCCATCATTCACTAGTTTCACACATGTATGAGTTTCTTTCATCTGTTAAGCACTAAAGAAGATATTTTGAAGAATTTTGAAAACCGGTAACCATTGACTTTTATTTGTTTTTCCATCAATGGAAGTCAATGGTTACCGGTTTTCAACATTCTTCAAAATATCTTCTTTAGTGTTCAACAGAGAAAAAAACTCATAAAGGTTTGGAAAATCTTGTGGGAGAGTAAATAGTGATTACATTTTATTTTGCGGTGAACTGTCTCTTTAAGTTAAAACCATAGAGAAAAATGTCAGCAAATTAAAGGGATAGTTCCCTCAAAAATAAACATTCGGTCATCATTTACCCATCATTCACCAGTTTTAAACATTTAGGAGTTTCTTTCAGCTGTTACATTTTGAATATTTTGAAGAATGTTGAAACCTCTAACCATTGACTTCTGTTTGTTTTTCCTTCAATGGAAGTCAATGGTTACCGGTTTCCATCATTGTTCAAAATACCTTTCTTTAGTGTTTAAAAGCAGAAAAAAACTCATAAATGTTTGGAAGCACTCGAGGAAGTGTAAATAATGAGCAAATATTCCTTTTATTGATGTGAACCGCCCCTTTAAGCCCAGTTTAGTGAGCTGAAAATGGCTGGTAGTGATTTCCCCCAGACTCCATCCATCACTGCAGTCACCCTCGACCAAAGACATCCAGCAGACCTATTAGACGCTCAGTGATAAAGCGCTCATAATGTGTCCCAGCCCACCGATAATGACCCCCGTTCTGTGATCGCAGCACTTTTTAAGTGTGTGTGTGTGTGTGTGTGTGTGTGTGTGTGTGTGTGTGTGTGTGTGTTTGAGAAAGACGCTTCACTTGCTGCAGCAGTGCTGTGTTTTAATCCTAATGTGTTGCAGACCGCTGCTTTCCCACTGCGCTCTACAGTTTGTGTGGTCCTCGGCTTATCTTCGCATTAAAGTGGACCATTTATACAAGATGTAGAATCATGATGTCTCCAGAGTGTGTGTGTGTGTGTGTGTGTGTGTGTGTGTGTGTGTGTTTGAGCTGAGAATACCACACACATAATGTCCTCCAGCTCTCTGAAACTGACCCTCTCAGGCTTTGATCCTAATCCTGCTGCTTTGGTGACTGTCGCTTTAAATGCAAATGAGATTTAAAAGAGGGCGGAGCTACAAACACCTGTACGTCAGCATAGCAGCAGATGTAAAACAGCAGTGTGTGTGTGTTGTCAGTGCTGTGTGCTTCAGTGTGAGTGTGTGTTCATGCTTCTGTCAGTCTATGTCTCTGTTCATCTAGAACTCCACATCTATAATCCTCTGAGTCTATGCTGACATCATCTTCAAACACTCTAATGGCTAATGGACAGACGGCTGCTTCTCACTCAGGGCTGCTGGACATGCTAATGAGGGAGTCTAGTGGGCGGGGCTTTCTGCATTCTGATGATACGTACACAGTGAGAATGTCAATCACAGTGTTTGTGCATCAAGTCTGATTATAATAAACATGATTAATTAATGTTGAGCATTAGATCAGACACTGCTGCTGTGTTTAATCCCCGTATAACAGTGATTTCTGCATAGCAGGTGCTCTTTAAATCACAGCTTATTCTTCTTCTGCCAATTGAAACACAAAGAGCGTAACGCTTCCTCAACCTTCCCCAAACGCTTGAGCATAAATATAAGCGCTATAAATACCCGAGTGAGCTCCAGCTGTCATTGTTTCATTATAATCACTGGTGGCTCGGCGGTGTGGTTTCCCGGATCCTGTACCGTCTCTGGGAGTGACCGTCACTGACTGCTGTTTATTATCGCTGCTGATTCAACGCTTCTGGACGCGTCTCGTCTGGAGAATGAGGAGATCTGAGAGAAATGAACATCAGCGGCTGCTCAGTCCCACGTCTGCACTGCATTCTGGGCTGGATTCGTGTTCTAGGATGGTATTTTGATGCTTATAAATACGGAAGAAGCAGCCGAGAGGAGAATTCAGGCTTCAGTTTGGTTTCGTTCACAATTAAACTGCTGTGTTTGATCAAATATACAGAGTTATGTGTTATAATAGGGGCGGCGCAGTGGGTAGGTCTCTGGTTTGAGTCTCGGCTGGGTCAGTTGGTGTTTCAGTGTGGAGTTTGCATGTTCTCCCTGTGTTGGTGTGGGTTTCCTCCGGGTGCTCCGGTTTCCCCCACAGTCCAAACACATGCGCTATAGAGGAACTGATCAACTACACTGGCCGTAGTGTATGAGTGTGTGTGTGGGTGTTTCCCAGTACTGGAGCTTGCAGCTGGAAGGGCATAATTCATTCATTTTCTTGTCGGCTTAGTCCCTTTATTAATCCGGGGTCGCCACAGCGGAATGAACCGCCAACTATTCCAGCAAGTTTTTTACGCAGCGGATGCCCTTCCAGCTGCAACCCATCTCTGGGAAACATCCACACACACACTCATACACTACCGACAATTTAGCCTACCCAATTCCCCTGTACCGCATGTGTTTGGACTGTGGGGGAAACCGGAGCACCCGGAGGAAACCCACGCGAAGGCAGGGAGAACATGCAAACTCCACACAGAAACGGCAACTGAGCTGAGGTTCGAACCAGCGACCTTCTTGCTGTGAGGCGACAGCACTACCTACTGCGCCACTGCCTCGCCCTGGAAGGGCATCCACTGCATAAAACAAATGCTGGAATAGTTGGCGGTTCATTCCGCTGTGGCGACCCCTGATTAATAAAGCAACTAAGCTGAAGGTGAATGACATCCTGTGAGTGAGCAGAGCCAGCGGTGCTGTGTTTGGTGTGAACCCAGCAGTAGAATAAAGCTGTGTTGACCAATCAGAAAGGAGGAAGCAGCGCTCATGCTGACATCGTGATGCAAAACTCCGGTCCCACTGACACTGAAGCAGAGATTCTGAAAGTCTTCACCCTGGATGGAGTTTCCAGACATTTCATACACACACTTAGCTAAACAAACACACACACACACACATGCAGACACTCAGATAGACATACACACACAGACACACATACACAAGCGCACAGATGTGTGCTGATCCTCCAGACGTCTCGAGGGCTCTGCTATTCAAATGTCCTGTAATTGAGTGTGAAGGGAGGAAACCTGCTCATTACAGAGGATTGTGGGAACATTCAGAGCAGTGGAACATGAGTTATTCTGCATGATCACAGAGACGACTGCGCAGATCCCTCAACTGCTGGAGCACATCTGAGGAAAACAACAGCAGCTCCAGTCTCAGCTGTGGCAGATATGCACTGAACGCTGTGTTAAACGGAGGAGGGAATGATTAAAAGCACGGTGGCGCAGTGGTTAGCACTGTCTCCTCACAGCAAGAAGGTCTCTGGTTTGAGTCTCGGCTGGGTCAGTTGGTGTTTCTGTGTGGAGTTTGCATGTTCTCCCCGTGTTGGGGTGCTCTGGTTTCCCCCACAGTCCAAACACATGCGCTATAGGGGAACTGATCAACTACACTGGCCATAGTGTATGAGTGAGTGTGCATCCGTGGCTGGAAGGGCATCCGCTTTGTAAAACATATGCTAGATTAGTTGGCGGTTCATTCCACAGTGGCGATCCCTGATTATTAAAGGGACTAAGCTGAAAAGAAAATGAACGAGTGAATTCAGATCATCTCACACACATTTTCCCTGTTTATTTTGACAGAGATTGTTTGACGCATCGACAGAACACTTGATCTGCACTGATCAGACTTCAGCACATGTACATTTAAGGCGAACACCTGAATATGATGTTCAGAATAAAGGATATGCGAATGTTGATCAGAAATAAACCGTCGGAGCTGAAATAAACGCTGTGCGCTGACCTCAGAACAGCTCCAGGGTGATTGTGTGCAGTAATCCTCCTCATGATTATACAGCTCTGTCCTCAGATGTCGGCCAGGATCTGCGCTTGCTTTACGACGTCGGTCAGACGAAAAATGAGAGACTTTTGGGGGATTAAGAGCTTGTAATTTTACACTTTTCTCATCGTCTCGCACTTATACTTACTTTTTTACTGCTGTTATAAATTTCATCCGGTTAAAATTGTACATTTGTAATTGAAGCGTTCAGATGAACACAGTTAGATTCTCTCTCCCTTAAATTGTATTGATTTGACTCATACTGAGAGTGTTTGTCTGAAATATTTTGAGCGGAATAAAGGCAGAGCTGTTTATTTTACTCATTAATAGTTAAAACACGGTGATCTTCCTGACAGCGCAGCTCAGATGAAGCTGACGTGTTAATGAGGAGTTCTGGACGTCACACAGGAACATAATTAAACTGCATTTAAAGGCAAGGGTGAGTGTGTCGCTCTGTAAAGCGTGGCGGTGTGAAATATCTGTTCACCTTTAGAGCTTCAGCTGTTGCTGGAGTTTAGTTTACAGCCAGTCATTTACTCACAGGTCAGAGTGTGTTTGAACACAGAGAAACGCTCCGTCCTGCAGCTGCTAACACACACTATTTCAGATGCTTCAGCAGCACATGGTTAAACATGACTTTAATATTACTGCGTTATTGTCAAATGTGTGCTGCGATGACACTTTAATGCACCTAATGAGAAAAATAAATAACTTAAAATGTTATTATGAGGGAGTTTTATTCGTCTTAAAGCCTCAATTCAAAATTCTCTATTCTGACAATGCATGTAAATCACGCTGATGTCGTTTTGTGGCATCGTCTTTCAACATGCATTTTGACAGTTTTTTGATGTATTTTTTGACAGTATCCGACCATATTTGACATTTTAATGCGCTTTTTAAAATATATATTTTTACATGATTTTAATATGTAATTTGACCAGTTTTTTTTATTAGTTTTTAAATTATATTAACATTTATTTGATGCGTTTTAAAAATATTTTTACTTGTTGTTTGCATTTATTTGCATGTTTTAAAAATAGTTTTCATGTTTTTTATGTTTTCACATCTTTTTGTTATTTGATATTTTGTTTTTTTAATTTTTTTGACTTTTCTATGGATGTTTTTGACATGTGTTTCTCGTCTCTCGTCATTTTTGATGTTTTTTAATGTTTTCTGACATGTTATCTGAGGCGTTTTTTAATGTTTTTTTCTTTACATGTTTTTGACATCTTTATATGTAATCTGACTTTTTAAAAAATAGTTCTTAAATGTTTATTGTGTATTTGATGAGTTTTTATAATATTTTAGGACATAGTTTTTAACATGTTTTTTTAATAATTTACATGTTATTTCTTTTTTTTGACGTTATCTGAAGTGTTTTTTGATATATTTGTTTACATGTTTTTGACAAGTTTTTTTACATGTAATTTGACATATTTTTGACTTGTTTTTATAGTTTTTAAATATTTATTCACTTATTTGATGCGTTTTTAAAATATTTTCCAACATTTTTTGCATGTTTTTTTAAATTTTGCATGTTTTTATGTTTTTTCACATCTTGTTTTTTCATGTTTATCGTCATTTTTAATGTGTTTTTTGTACGTTTTCTGAGTCATTTTTAAATACATGTTTTACATGTTTTTTTTTTTTACATTTTTTTATGCAATTGACATTTTTTAAATGTTTATTGACTAAAGTGTTTGTAAAATATTTTACATGTTTTTTTTATATTTTGCATGTTTTTATGTATTATTTGATGTCTTGTTTTTGATGCAGTTTTTATTTTTAAAAATATTTGGACCTTTTTTAACATTTTTAGCATTTTTTTCTCGTCATTTGACATTTTTGATGTATTTTTTAAGTTTTCTGACGTTATCTGAGCTGTTTTTTTAATGCGGTTCTAGATATTTGTTAACATGCTTTGACAGTTTTTTTTACATGTAATTTGACATGTTTGGACTCGTTTTTATATTTTTTAAATTTTTATTGACATTAATTTCATGCTTTTTAAAAACGTTTTTGAAGTGTACATGTTTACATGTTTTTTATTTGTATTTTAACATGTTTTTTCAACATTTTCCATGTTTATCATGTGTCATTTGACAACATCCAAATGCATTTACTTGTTTGGGACTGTTTTGACTTTTTTACTTGTATTTTGTAAGTTAGATGTATTTTATTTATTTGTTTTACATGTTTTTAAGTGTTGTTGACATTAAGCTACCTGCTGATAATAATCAGATTATTTCTGTTTGTAAAATACCTCCATCATCTGCTGTTCCTCTTCTCCAGCTGTACAGACAGGACTGCAGGACTCTGGGAACGGTGGTGAAGATGCTGATCTCCAAACATCCAGCCCTGCAACAGAAGCTCCAGATCGCCATGATAGAGATCCTGCTGGATATCAAGAGGAAGAACCTGGAAAAACTCAGTCTGTTCATCTCCGAGTCAAACGTATCGGCTAAACCATAATCTAGAAACACAATATACGACTATACAGAAGCAGCGTTGGTGGAGTTCACTGTGTTTTCTGTAGCGACGTTCACTTGTTCAATGTTGTATCTGTGCATGATAAACTTTTGTATTAAAGTCATTAAGCTAAAAGTGCTGATTGACTTCAATTTATCACAATTTCACTGCAAAACACGATTATTTTGCTTGGTTTAGGGAAAAACTAGCTTGATTTTGACTCATTATTTCTGAAAACAAGACTAGTCTTCAAAACGCTTCTTGATTTCAGAAGTTTTAGATATTTGCACTAGAAAAAACTCAAGAAATCTGTATTTTTGTAGTGTATACATGGAATTAATGTGCATTTAAAGTCTAAAACCTTTGCATATTACATTAAAAATGAATGTTATACAACGCTGACATCAATCTACACACACACACGCACACAAACACTGCATGAAATAAAAACACAAGCTACATAAACAGCCCATAAATAAGTGTATTAATGTAGATTACAGAATTAAAGCAAACCCAAAATGTGCATAAACTCCTCCATATCTCCCTTTTATTATTAGCCTTATGTTCCAGTTAGCATTAACACTGTTTGACCCATCAATAAAATAACACTGGATTATTATATGCAGCGTACAATAGTGGCAAAGCTGACCCTGGCCTGCATGTATTGATTTATTTTTAAAACCCTGATTAACAAAAGCCTATCCGCTGCAGAATCAGTCCTGTAGTACATGTTTGGTTCAGTAACACTCTTTAAAAAACATCTTTTGTAACTCAGGGATATAAAAATATGAGCATTTTACAGTATATACACATTCACTTTCGCAAAAGAGTTAAATTACCACTCCATTAGTCTCTAAAAGCGGCGGCTTTATAAATATTATATTCCTCTGGATCTTTCAAAGACTACATCACTTATTAAATGCATTATTAAAGAAATTACTGCATGGGAAGACTAGCAAAACCAATCACAGATATTTACATTAGATATACGCATAGAGGCCCTAAGCATGCGTGAACACCGCCGCCATATTTGTACAGTGCTCCCATGACAAAAGTGTATAACTCCACCAAGTCAAGAGTAAAGTCAGTCTGAAGATGCTGGACTCTTGTGCTTATTTAAGAGGGAGGTGAATACATGCAGACAAACAATGGGAAATGCCCGTGCGATCACTTATCCATCGATCTAGAAAAGTGATGTAAAACTAGAATAACATACTGACCACAATCATAGAGATATGTGTGTATATATCTCTGGCTCAACATAGCCAATCCACCACTGCACCTTGGTCCCACATTCATTTCAAAGGAGCGCTTGCCTGTACCAAGATGGCGGCTCTATTGGCACATTCCTTTCAATAGACAACAATAGCATAGGCGACATCTAATGTAAATATCTATGAAAACCACTGCAATCGAGACGAGCACATTTAGGCCACGCCCACACCAGGGTGGGAAAAACAATCCAATCAACTCCATTGACTTTCTATTGCTGGAACATGCCTTAATATCATTTATAACTTGTTATAAACAATAGAACTATTCCTAAAAGCTGCTGTGTGATGTGTACTGCAAACAAGCTAAACAGAAATGAGAATTACGCTTATAATAAGCAGCCAAAGCCTTTTTAACTGTGACCACCCTGCTATTGGGACGATTAAGTTTACATTATTTCAGTTATATCCTAATCTAATCACGATCAACTGTTTTATTAACTGTCTGAGGCTTCTGACTGCATGTTTTATCCCTGTTTATTGTTATGTAGTGAGATTAACATATTAAAGAACATTTACTGTCAGCTTTTAACCTGTGGGAGTGTTTACTGTTACATTTTAAACTATAATATTGTAGTCTTAACATAAAGCAATCATGACAGTTTATCAATTGAAAGCTTTTAATGTCTAGTTTCTGTATCTAGTGATTGGTTTTTGATAGATATTACTGAGCAAGAGTTATTTATTAATTTGCAAGAAGAATACTGCAACAAAAATTACTTTGCTACAGCAATCCACATATAAACATTTAGTTAGGCTAAATTCAACTCAAGAGCCACCATACTGCTCATACATCCTTAGAATGTGACATCTACACTGCAAAACATGCTTTTCTCACTTAGATTTTTTTGTCCTCTTTCTATTGTAAACATCGAAAAACTTTATCAAGAAGCATTTTCTAGGCAAGCAAAACATAAAGTCATGTTTTCAGAAAAAAATAAGTAAAAACTAAGTAAAATTTTCCTTAAAACAAGCTAAATACTCTTGTTTCTCCTTTTGACATAAGATTATTTTGCTCACCCCATTGGCAGATTATTTTGCTTGTATTAAGAAAAAACTTGCATAATTTTGGCATATTATTTCTGGAAACAAGACTTTATGTTTCGCTTGTGTAGAAAATTCTTCTTGATTTAAGAATTTTTAGATATTTGGACTAGAAACAAGACAAAAGATCTAACATTTTTTAGTGCACTTTAAAAATATTGTCAAAACGTTGGGGGCGCTGTTGCATGTCCATCAATGGAAACTGGTGGTCATGTGTGGTACTGCAGCCAAACTAAATCTTGCTAAAAGCTCTTATTTTTCGAGATATCAACCTTACATTTGGAATATAATTTGTTTAGATATTTAGCTCTGATTTATTTAGTCAATTTTAGGCTAAAAATGTTTTGTAAAACACATTTTTTGTAATATAATAACACATACATTCATTGTTTTATTTGTTTTCATAAACAAAGGCACATAACTTTTGTTTTATTTTATTTTTCCTTTCACCCGACTTTTGTGTCAATATTATGCTAATTTTTGGGGGTTGAAAGCTAATAAAAATGTAATACTGATTATTTTACTGTTCACATCAATACAAAGTCAATTGACTGTGTTAGATTGCCCCCCCCCTCTCTCAAAGTGGGCGTGGCCTTCAGATTATGACACAATGCGCTCGCTCTCAAAACATTATTTCAAAATAAAAGCTTTGCCATTCAGATGCAGATCAACTGAATCAAACATCACTCAGCTTTATTTTGTCTTATGAAATAATACAGTTTTTGCCTTTCCGTCCTCTCTTCTGTTTGGACTTTGTCCTTGTGCCGAAAGCAGCTTCATCTGAAGCGTAATACTGGTACCGAGGTTGTCTAGGTTGAGGAATCGGCTGACCCAAAAAAAACCCTTCCTCTTCTGATTCTGACGATGAGGAAGAGCACGTGGAGCACCAATCGTCTTCATAAAGACGTGTAAATCTCTCCGTACGCAAACCGTCGCCATACTGAGCGCCATTATGACCCAATCCATGCTTCCGACGATCATCTTTAAAGCAAACCCGAGGCTTTTCTTCTTTTGGTGCCAAATGAAGTGCGTTATCCGACCGAGACATGCGGCTTCTTCTTCTTCTGTGGTGATGCCGCGGCCGCTGATGATCTTGTTCGTCAAACTGAAATGCTCGTCTACGAGTTCGTTCGCTCATTGGCGGCTGTCGAACCTTCAGCTCATCGTATCTCCCGTTATCTATGACATCATCAGAGAACTTCACCTGCTGTGTTTTGGACTGGGACTTTGATCTTCTCAGCACAGGTAAGCGCGGTGGTTTGGGGTGTACCTCAGGGCTCGGTACGCCCTGCTCCTGCTGTTCCTCTATCACTTGAGTTCGGTCCAGATCAGACGTCAGGCTCTTCATCGAGGAGTTCAGCGTTCCCATGTTACTCGTGTTCTCACAGCGATCCAGATCAGAGAACTTTTGTAGGGAGAAGAGCAAGGGCTTGTCTTTAATATCGCCATCAACTGAAGCACCTGAAAGGAGCACAGAAGGTCAGGTTATACACCTATAAAAGACTTCGAGTACAGCTTATAATTACATGGAGTGTCACGTCCTAAATTAGTCCCTGGAGGACCAGTGAGTTTAACATTAAATATCAGACTCACTAGATCAAGTTTTCTCGATGTATGAACACAGAGAGAATTCAGTCAGAATAATTTAAGAGCAGTGCAATACAAAAATGGAGAGTTAGTGTCTTGTTTCTAGTCCAAATATCTGAAAATGATTAAATCTAGAAGCATTTTCCAGACAAATAAAAAAAATATTGTATTGTTTTCAGAAATGGGTCAATTGGGAGTTTTCTATTAAAATAATTTGCCAATGGGGTGACTAGAATTAACATATTTCAAAACAAAAACAAGATGATTTAGCTTGTTTTCACTGAAAAACGCACTTCATTTTGACTATATCTAAAAACAAAACTAATTTTGCTTGTTTATAAAATGCTTCTTGATTAAAGAATCGTTTCATATTTGGACTATAAACAAGAGCAAAACTCATTTATTGCAGTGCACTGCTCCTGCTTCAGCCATGGTACTGCAGCAAAATGAACCGATTATTACTCCAGAATGAGATTACAGTTCAAATATCACCCTAGATCAGTGGTTCTCAAACTTTTTTCATCAAGTACCATCTCTGAAAAAAATTGTTTCTCCAAGTACCACCATAATGAGCAGTATTGAAAAACAGTAGCGTAGTAGACCAATTTAAGCTACAGCTCTGCACAGTTCAAAAACATGTCAGATTAATTACTGTTAAAAATATTAATTATTGTCAGCCAATTTAAACATTATAAATAGTCTGAACTAGTGATGGGTCGTTCATGAACGATTTGTTCATTTTGAACGAATCTTCAATATGACTCGGGAACTACGAGTCCTCTCAGGGAGTGATTCGTTCATCTGCGCACATTTGTGCAGGTGATATCGTTAATTTCAAGTCTTCATCACATTGGCAGAAGCCAATCATACGCGTTTAGAGCCGGAAAAAGAATTGAACTGTTCATCTCTCGAGTCCCGGGTTTGAGTCATTCTGTCACGTGATGAACGAACGATCATGGCTCCTATCGGCTTAGACTGTGCATTGGTTAAGATTATATGTGTCTGTCAGAGTAACGTGAATGAACCCCTGACATTTGAAGACATGAAGAGGTGAGCTGAGCAAACAGACAACAATACCTTCATAGAGAAAAGAGCGGGTCAACATTCAATGATTATTTTCTCCTTCTTATCTTCTATTTATGATTTATGACTTCGTTTATCTTGATAAACGAGACTCAAAGATCCGAGTCAGTAATATGATCCGAACTTCCCATCACTAGTCTGAACGTTAGGACTGTATTGTGCTTATATGTAAAAAAAACAAACAAACTAAAAATGTGAACATTTAAATTAAAATGTGCTTTTAAAAATTAAAAATGGTAGGTTACCGTTCTTAAAAAGTACAAAGAAAAGTGCTGTACTTAAATGTAAAGTAATAACAAATAGTAGTCTATTCATCAACACCGGAAAATGTTGCCTTTACCTCATAAATATGGGCTATATGTCATCATATTCATATACTAATCATCTTTGATTAATTTTGAAATATATGTAGCATGTACATATGACATATATATACAGATATTTGATTCCTCTGCGCACAACTAGAAGGAAGCCTATTTTTTATTCTAAAGTTGCTACTATTCCTCATTGACGAACAGTTATAACATGAAGGCCCAGTTTCACAAACAAGGCTTAGATTAAGCCAGGACTAGGCCTTAGTTAAATAAGGCTATTTAAGTCACATTTATAAAAATGGCCTTAGAAAAATATTACTGGTGTGCACCTGGAGACAAAAAAATGACACTGACATATTTTAAGACATCTCTCCCCAAGTTATTTTGAGTTGAGACAGCTCAAACATGCGCTTTAATCTCGACTAGCCTTAAACCTTGTTTGTGAAACCGGGGGAAAGAATAGTTGCAACTTTAGAATACCGTCCCAATAACATATATGAACTATTAACTGATGCTTAACACGTCTTTAGTAAGTAATTTACTAACAGCTTGTTCATGATCTGTTACTAATTTATTAGGTATAGTTATAAATCATTAATATACAGTTCACAAATCATTTATAACTTGTTAACTAACAGCTTGTAAGTTATTTATTGGCCATCTATAAGGCACAATTATAAGAAAATTAACAAACTATTAACTTTTATTTACAAGTCATTTATAACTCATTAACTAACAGTTTATTAATGGACTATTAACTAGTTATAATGGATAGTTATTCTAAAGTGTTGCCAAAAAAGATTATAACCAAATAATTTTTCCAGAAAATATAGATTTAACCGTTGACCTGTAAATAGAGACTTTGGGAATTCCTAGCTAGAAAATTAGGGGAATTGCTTTGAAACTCTCCTGCACTGATTTTATAAATAAAATCCCAGACTAATAAAGATGCACTGAAAAAATGATGTCTGCAAAAGAGTTGCAAACAATTTATTAGTGTTGAATTTAAACAAACAAATTAAATTGAATACAATTCAACTTAATTTGATTGTTTAAATTCAGCCCAAATAAACTGTTTACAGCCACTTAACATAAAAAAAATTGAGTAAATCCAAGAAACTCTTTACGTTTCCCCAATTACATGCTTCAAGAGAAATCACTTGTCCATCAATGCCCGAGCCTCACCTGTGATGTTGGAGAGCGCTAAAGAGTCCATGGAGTCTCTGATGTTCAGATCAGCTTCTTTAAGTTGATCAGTGATGCATTCTAGCGAGTCATTAAACCACTGCTTATTGTCTTCATGTTTAAAGCTCGCTCCATGCTCCAGGTCCAGATCCTGGAGCTTTCTGCTGCTGGCGGGACCGGGGTGGCTCCCGTACGCAGAGTCTCCTAGCCCATCCTGGGACTGAGTCCAGTACATGTCTGCCTTGTATTTCTTACTTGCCAGACTGCTGTTCCCACCACTGCCGGTCTTATTCTTGAGCTCAGAATCCGTCCAGATTGATAGATCAGTCCTGGTGTCCTGAAACATCCCGTGCTCGCCAAATTTGAGCAGGAGTTGTGTCATGTAGTCGTCATGTTCGGCCCATTCCTCGTGGTCTTCCGGAGCCTCCTGATCCTCTCTATTCCTCCAGAAGTGATTATCAGCAAAGTTTAGCTGTGATAGCCGTTTGGACAGGGTGTCATCAGCGTTTCCGGAGAGTCCCGGGAACTTATAGTTGCTTGCGGGTGAAAATAAAAGCGACTGTCGGCACTGGTCTGCGGAACGACTGCTTTTTCCCATCTTCACACTGCGGCGGGACTCGCGGGACCTGGCGGACTGGAAGGCAGAATCGGAGGAGTCTGAAGCCTGCACATCTTCTCCCAAACTGCAGGCTTTGGAGCAGTAGATTCTGCCCTGTCTGGGTAGAAACGGACAGCCCAGCAGGGAGCTTTTACACTGAGCGCAGCTGAAACAAGCATCTGTGGCGTGCCAGTGAAGGCCGTCATACGTCATCTGGGCATGATCCACACCTACAGCAAAATAAACGAGATATTAAAGGCTCGCTTCTTCAACAAGCAGAATGTGGTTTGTGGTAATGATGAGAGACATCAGGGCGCGGGTGCATGAAAGCCCTGAAGAAATTCAGCTTAATGTTGGGATAAAACAGGTTAAAACGTTCCTTTTTTCCCATATTGGGATGCACATCTAATTGAAACAGTCCTGAATTTAGAAAAAATGTAGGGAGGTGCATGATTTTGTCCTTTGGAAGCCAAGTGGGTTGTTGGAAGATGGGCGTTGCTAACAGAGTGGTGAAAGATGGAGGAAAGCAGGGCAGGAACAAGACACTGATAGCTCCGCCCTAAATGACTGATAGCCCCGCCCTAAATGACTGATAGCCTCGCCCTAAATGACTGATAGCCCCACCCTAAATGACTAACAGACCTGCCCTGAAGGACTGATAGTCCCGCCCTAAAAGACTGATAGACCCCCCCTTAATCACAGATAGCCCCTACCTAAAGGACTGATAGTCCCGCCCTAAATGGCTGATATGCCCGCCTTAAATGACTGATAGCCCCGCCCTAAAGGACTCATAGCCCTGCCCTACAGGACCAATAACCCTCCTTAAAATTACTGACAGTCCCGCCCTAAAAGACTCATAGCACTGCCCTAAATGACTAAAAGTACCGTCCTAAATGAATGATAGCCCCGCCCTAAATTATTAATAGTCCATTTTAAATGACTAATAGTCCCACCCTAAATGACTGATAGCCCTGCCCTGAATTACTGACAGCCCCGCCCTAAATGACTGATAGTCCCACCCTAAAGTGCTGATAGCCCCTTCCTAAAGGACTGATAGCCCCGCCCTAAATGACTGATAGTCCCACCCTAAAGTGCTGATAGCCCCTTCCTAAAGGACTGATAGCCCCGCCCTAAATGACTGATAGTCCCACCAGTAAAGACTAATGTCCACCCTAAAGGACTGATAGCCCCTCCCTAAAGGATTAATAGCTCCGCCCTAAAAGACTGATAGACCTGCCCTGAAGGACTGATGGCCCAGCCCTTAAAGACTGATAGACCCTCCCTAAAGGACTGTTAGTCCCGCCCTAATTTACTGATAGCCCCTCCCTAATAGACTGATAGACCCACCGTGAAGGACCGATAACACCTTTTCAAATTACTGATAGTCTTGCACTAAATGGCTAATAGCCCCGCCCTAAATAACTAAAAGTCCTGCCCTAAATTACTAATTGCCCCGCCCTAAATAACTAAAAGTCTTGCCCTAAATTACTAATAGCCCCGCCCTAAATAACTTAAAGTCCTGCCCTAAATTACTAATTGCCCCGCCCTAAATAACTAAAAGTCTTGCCCTAAATTACTAATAGCCCCGCCCAAAATAACTTAAAGTCCTGCCCTAAATTACTAATAGCCCCGCCCTAAATAACTAAAAGTCCTGCCCTAAATTACTAATAGCCCCGCCCCAAATAACTAAAAGTCCTGCCCTAAATTACTATTAGCCCCGCCCTAAATAACTAAAAGTCCTGCCCTAAATTACTAATAGCCCCGCCCTAAATAACTAAAAGTCTTGCCCTAAATTACTAATAGCCCCGCCCTAAATAACTAAAAGTCCTGCCCTAAATAACTAATAGCCCCGCCCTAAATAACTAAAAGTCCTGCCCTAAATTACTATTAGCCTCACCCTAAATAACTAAAAGTCTTGCCCTAAATTACTAATAGCCCCGCCCTAAATAACTAAAAGTCCTGCCCTAAATTACTATTAGCCCCGCCCTAAATAACTAAAAGTCTTGCCCTAAATTACTAATAGCCCCGCCCTAAATAACTAAAAGTCCTGCCCTAAATTACTAATAGCCCCGCCCTAAATAACTAAAAGTCCTGCCCTAAATTACTAATAGCCCCGCCCTAAATAACTAAAAGTCCTGCCCTAAATTACTATTAGCCTCACCCTAAATAACTAAAAGTCTTGCCCTAAATTACTAATAGCCCCGCCCTAAATAACTAAAAGTCCTGCCCTAAATTACTATTAGCCCCGCCCTAAATAACTAAAAGTCTTGCCCTAAATTACTAATAGCCCCGCCCTAAATAACTAAAAGTCCTGCCCTAAATTACTAATAGCCCCGCCCTAAATAACTAAAAGTCCTGCTATAAATTACTATTAGCCTCACCCTAAATAACTAAAAGTCTTGCCCTAAATTACTAATAGCCCCGCCCTAAATAACTAAAAGTCCTGCCCTAAATTACTAATAGCCCCGCCCTAAATAACTAAAAGTCTTGCCCTAAATTACTAATAGCCCCGCCCTAAATAACTAAAAGTCCTGCCCTAAATTACTAATAGCCCCGCCCTAAATAACAAAAAGTCCTGCCCTAAATTACTAATAGCCCCGCCCTAAATAAAAAAGTCCTGCCCTAAATTACTAAAAGCCCCGCCCTAAATAACAAAAAGTCCTGCCCTAAATTACTAATAGCCCCGCCCTAAATAACAAAAAGTCCTGCCCTAAATTACTAAAAGCCCCGCCCTAAATAACAAAAAGTCCTGCCCTAAATTACTAATAGCCCCGCCCTAAATAACAAAAAGTCCTGCCCTAAATTACTAAAAGCCCCGCCCTAAATAACAAAAAGTCCTGCCCTAAATTACTAATAGCCCCGCCCTAAATAACAAAAAGTCCTGCCCTAAATTACTAAAAGCCCCGCCCTAAATAACAAAAAGTCCTGCCCTAAATTACTAATAGCCCCGCCCTAAATAACAAAAAGTCCTGCCCTAAATTACTAAAAGCCCCGCCCTAAATAACAAAAAGTCCTGCCCTAAATTACTAATAGCCCCGCCCTTAAGGCATTGATGTAACAGAGGTGAAGACTAAACCTTCAAGCCTTAATGCGTTTCTTTATGCCATTGAACACAAAGAAGGTAGTATTCGTTATGGAACTCAATGGTTAATCTCCTTAAGTGGACTCTGGGGTTTTTGTACAGCAGCCCAAGTTTACCGAACGGTTCCCCCAAGTTTGAAACAGAGGTTTTTGAGTCTGATGCTCACCGATGTGCTGTGCGCAGGCCTGGCAGTACTCGGCATACAGCGACTGGAAGCACCCGCAGCAGAACGGCCGTCCGTCCTTCATGATGTAGCGCTGGCCACCCAGAATAACCTCACACTCACTGCAGGAGAAGTGCTTCATGTGCCAGTGCCGGCCTTCTGCTTCTGTGCATTCATCCGCAAATATAATCTGACAGCACAGCGAGAGAGAGAGAGGAATCAGCAACAGGCAGAAACACTGCAGATGTGTTGATATCCACCTATTACTATGTGCATTCTGGAATATAATATGGATTTGCATGAAGTCATATTTTCTGTCCTTTATTAGATATATAAGACTTAATTTGTTGGTGAAGTTAAAAAGTTCTCATTTTAATCATTCATGCATCAGTTTTAATAATTAGGATTATAGTATATAGGTGGAAGACATTAAAATAAATAAATAAATAAATAATTAAAAATACAATGCATATTAGGACTGATGGGCCCCATGGCTGCTCAGGACTCGCCCCTGCTAGTGTGTGTTGTTGAAGATCTCCTCTCACCTCATCACAGGAGGAGCAGCGGGGCTTCAGGAGCTCAGCGTGGTGTCGGCCGCAGTGCACTTTCCCATCATGATAGAAGTAAATGAGATCCACCAGGAGCTCCGAGCAGGTGGAGCAGGTGAAGCAGGCCGGATGCCAACACTGACCTGCTGCTGCCGCCCGCGACACACACACCGCCATCTCCCCCCCGCCGAGACGCTCTCCACACTGCACACACAGCACATTACACACTAGTACACCAGCATCACACACTACTCTCCTGAACTGCTCCACAGCCGGAAATATGATGGCTCGTATCCGCTTCTGTTTGTCTTTCTTTGAGCTTCTTTGGCAGAATGAGATTAAAGCTCAGCTTGACTTGACATTGCTGATCGTGATGTGACTGTTGCAGGTAGATTGTGCAGTCGTAGTTTGGTTTTTAAGATCGCGAGTGGTTGTGTGAGCATTTCACACATGCAATGATTATATGATATGATATGTAGATGTGCATACACATAACCGTAAGCCTAAACTCAACATAAACAGTAACACTCCATTCACACGGGGCTTCAGCGTCAGCGCTTGACTGAAGGCGTATCTGAAGTTGGGGCTGAAGCGATCGTCATAGCAGCGTCAGCCAATGAAATTCAGTCAGCAATAGGCCACTGTCTAGCTGGTGTATTTGCATACAGCGATCTGATTGGCTGACGCTTCCGCGCTTAAAAAGTTGAGCTAGTCCCAACGTCTGCAGCGAGCAACGCCTCTAAAGCGGCGCCGACGGATCCACAATGCAGGTCGGCAACGCCTGACGTCACCCATTCAAAGTGAATGAGAAGCATTGACGCTGACGCCCTGTGTGAATGCGGTGTAAGCATATCCCTTAATTCTGATTGGCTGATTGGAATGTTGCTCCTGGATCAACACAGATCCTCACTGCGTATCAGGACTCTGCATGTGACATCATCATGCTGTGAGTGTTAGGTCAGTGTGTATATCCACCATCGTGTGTAACCCTGTGTTTCTGTACTTACATGTTCACACGCTGCATGATGTACGGTGCGGGGCAGTATTTTGAGCGTTCCTCGTCCCAGCGCCTCTTTCTTTCTCTGTATGCTGAACATGTGCAGCTCCTTCTTCTCCTCTTCGCTCAGAGACTGGCAGTACCGCACCTGACGGACACATTTACAACAACATTACTGACTAAATATTAGACATCAACTCTCATGCTGGATCTTTGGCGCACTACTGTTCTTTCATTCATTCATTTTCTTGTCGGCTTAGTCCCTTTATTAATCCGGGGTCGCCACAGCGGAATGAACCGCCAACTTATCCAGCAAGTTTTTACGTAGTGGATGCCCTTCCAGCTGCAACCCATCTCTGGGAAACATCCTCGCACACACTCTCATACACTACAGACAATTTAGCCTACCCAATTCATCTGTAGCGCATGTGTTTGGACTGTGGGGGAAACCGGAGCACCCGGAGGAAACCCACGTGAACGCAGGGAGAACATGCAAACTCCACACAGAAACACCAACTGAGCCGAGGTTCGAACCAGTAACCCAGCGAGTGCTGTGAGGCGACAGCACTACCTACTGCGCCACTGCTTCCTCAGTTCCTCAGTTTTGATCTTGTTTCTAGTCCAAATATTGAACAGTTCTTAAATCAAGAAGCATTTTCTGGACTAGCAAACAAAAAAAATAAAAAGGTTCTGTTTTCAATATAAATTTTTTATTTTTTTTTATCTTACACTTGTCTCCTTTATTCCTGTTTGTGTAAAGCACTTTGAATTGCCACTGTGCATGAAATGTGCTATAGAAATAAACTTGCCTGGCCTATTTGTTTTTCATACTTTGGAAGTTAATGGTTACAGGTTTCCAACATTCTTCAAAATATCTTCTTTAGTGTTCAACAGAATACAGAAACTGGTTTTGAACAAGAAAAGGAAGCGTAAATGATGAGAGAATTTGCATTTTTGTGTGAACTATCCCTCTTATTAGTGATGGAAAGAAGATAATTTGACAAAAGCTGAAAACCTGTAACCATTGACTTAAATCAGGGGTGTCAAACTCAATTCCTGGAGGGCCGCAGCCCTGCACAGTTTAGTTCCAACCCTGCTTCAACACACTTACCTGTAGGTTTCAAACAAGCCTGAAGGACTCAATTAGTTTGATCAGGTGTGTTTAATTAGGGTTAAAACTAAACTGTGCAGAGCTGCGGCCCTCCAGGAACTGAGTTTGACACCTGTGACTTCAATAGTATTTGTTTTTCCTAGCTATGGAAGTCAATGGTTACAGGTTTCCAGCAAAATATCTTCTTTTAGTGTTCAACAGATGAAATAAACGCATGAAGGTTTAAGACTAAATAGTGAGTAAAACATTTAGGGTGAACTGTCCCTGTAAACAGCAAACGATGTCACTCGCTGACAAACACGAGCTGCATTTTCTCGTGGTTGATGCCACAGATAAGAATAAAAGAGCATTTTCTGTGACCAACGCAACCTCTGGAGGCGTTCAGACCGCAGGAATCTGAATACTCTTGATACCACACGATAAAGAGCATCATAATGGTCTCATTGTGCAAACTCCCACAGAGAGACGAGGTGACAGACATCTTTCTGTGATGCAGGAATCTAAAACACCCACACCACCGCACACTGGTGTGCTTGTCGGGTTATTTTCATGGGCTCTGGGCGGATTTTGGGTCTTAATTTGGCCACAGCTTTCTCTGTGTTTCAGCAAATGGAGGATTTTTTCAACCTAGGCTCATTCCGCAAATGTAGCCCCGCGGACATTTCTGGAGACCGCGATTGACATGGCTGGAGGTGCGTATGGCCGCATTTTGTTTTTTCGAGCGAACGCTGCGAGGCGGTGTGACGCCGCTCCTCTTCTTCGTGCTCGCCGGCTGACGGCTCACCTCTGGGCTTTCTCACCGCAACCAGTTTGTCCGCTTAGCTCATAGTGTTACGTCGGCGGAGCGGAGGCCCAGAGGAGGAGGACTGGGAAACAGCGACTGGGTTCGAGTCCGGTGAAGAGCAGTTCCAGAAATCAGGTAAGATGAAAAACAGAATCCAAAAAAATGAAAGCGAACGAGTTCACGACGGGGCGAGAATGCGGCGAAACCCGAAAACGCTGTCAAAATCGAACGAGGGCGATAGCTTTTTTTTATTTCTGGACGACTTTTTTAAATCATTGTTTAGGACAGACGATTGCTCGACAGCAGCCTCTGGCGGCTTTTCATGGAAGAGCAGCGCGGGCACGAACGACGCACACTCCCAAGAAGCGTTAGAGACACAAAAAAGCACGCACAGTGGCCTCTTGAGGATTCGCGAAAACAAAAACTGCACACATACGCAACTCCCGGGACGTATTTTGCGGCCTCCAGAAACGTCCGCGGGGCTACGCTTCCACAATGAGCCTGGGTTGGATTTTTTGCTGAAACATCTTATTTTGACACATATTTTGGGAAAATGGCGACACGTTCACAGCAAGAAGATCAATGATTCAAGTCCTGGCTGGGTCAGTTGGTGTTTCTGTGTGGAGTTTGCATGTTCTCCCCGTGTTGGTGTGCTCTGGTTTCCCCCACAGTCCAAACACATGCGCTTTAGGGGAACTGATCAACTACACTGGCCGTAGTGTATGAGTGTGTGAATGAGTGTGTATGAGTGTTTCCCAGTACTGGGTTGCAGCTGGAAAACCATCCGCTGTGTAAAACATATGCTGAAATAGTTGGAGGTTCATTCCGTTGTGGTGACCCCTGATGAATAAAGGGACTAAGCTGATATCAATGCTGTGCAGTGGTGTTCTGAGTGTGTTGTGAAATGTGATGTGTGGGTTTTCTGGGCTGCTGGAGGAACAGTGCAGTGTGTGATGAGGTCTGCTGAAGGTCTGCTCCTCTTCTCTGTGTGCTTTCAGTAAACTCACTTCATTATCGTGAGGAGGCAGCTGGTACAGGAGCTGTTTAATGCGCTGTTTCTCTCCGGGGCTGTTCACATACGGGACTTTATCCTCCGGGAGACATGAGAAATACAGCGCGACCTGAAGATCAGATGGAGAGATGGAGAGTCATTAAAGGCGCTGTATATACAAACAGAGGATTTTTGATTTTGCTTACAACATCACACTGTAAAAATGACTTTCTTAGCTAGAGGACTTGTCTTGTTTCTAGTCCAAATATCTACAAAATCTTAAATCAGTCAGCATTTTCTAGACACGCACAACAAATAGTCTTATTTTCAGAAATAATCAAAATCATCAATAATCAAAGTCAAAATGAAGTGAGTTTTTCCCTTTAAAACAAGCAACTTAATCTAGTGCAGCACATTTATTAGCCATGTAAAGCTCCAAAGTGATTTGACATGTGTATTTTTGATGTGTGACCTCATTTGACCTGGGTGGGGCATACAGTAGCTCCTCCCCTTATTAAAAGACAGCCAATACTGTTTAGTTTCTCACAGCTCTGCTAGTGAAAAGGGTTGAGCTCAAGCGCATCAAACCAACAGCCAATGAGAAGAAGGGGGCGTGGCATGTCAAATACTGAAAAGGATTTGATTTGTCGGAAGATTTGATGAGAAGTATGAGGTGACGGCAGAAGAACATTGATGCATGAAGGCGGAAGAGACCAACTGCAAGCTTTGGATGTTTATACCAGGTTTATGTATCAGTTGTTGTTGTTGTTTGGAAAATGAATTGTGTAAATATGCATGAAATGATGTTACATCTTTATCTATTTATTCATATTCATGTTTAATTAAATAAATATTAAATTTTGTATTAAGCGTCACAAAAATCACATTTATTCTGAGCTGTTCCTATTAAAAATGATTCAAAATTGTAATTATTTTTGTAATATTCATTCATGTTTAACTAAAAAATTAAAATTTTTGCATGTTTATACCTTCTACATGTGAATTTTGTAGCACACTAGAATTTGTAGCACACTAGATATCCTTAAGACTCACATACTGACACTAACACCTACATTTTAACGTCACATGACCTCTAACTGAAACCTGAGCAGCAGCTCTGCTTTTTACTGTAGTCCATTGTGCTTGATTGACACCGTGACCTCTGTGAGCCTTTATGAGCGCTGGTCGTAACACTCCTGTAGATAAACAGCAGGACCGAGCGGCTCTTTTCCTTCATAAAGAGTCTCCTGCTGTTTTCCAATCACTCTACAGGAATGCCATTTAAAGCTGATGACCGTAAATCACGCTCATCTTAAGCTGATGTTACCTCCAACTCGACCCTCAGGCCCTTGAACAACACGGTTCCTCTTCCTACACACAATCATCACCTATAATATCAGGGCAATTGACTGAACGGCTGCTATAAACGCATTACAGTTTAACACAAAGGCTAAACTATGGGATTTTAAGGCTCTCCAAATTGCTTTAGAGCTTTATCTGCAGAAATGGCTGTGGGTTTTATTTAGGGTTGCTCTTCGAGGTCAGGGGAGTGTGAGACTGAAACCAGCATCACAACATGCTTTCTGTAACCGCAAACACTGCAGTGATATGAAATGCAATCAACATCATATTTAATGGTGCAGTTTAAGAGCCTCAGTGATAAAAACAAAACTCATACTGACATTTAATGGTTAGATGCATACAAATATACACAGAAAATCATAAAAACAAGACTACAGTTGTAGTTGTAATTGTTACATTTAAAAAATTAATTTTGGGAAGAGGGATCATTTGTAATTTTTGCAAGACAAATTGTATATATTAAACAGATTTCTGTGTAATCTGTATAATAATCAATTCAAATTTCTATTCATGTGCATTTCTCCAGTGCTTTTACAATATAAATTGTGTCAATGCAGCTTAACATAGAAGTTCTAGTAAATTGAAACTGCGTCAGTCCATTTTTCAGAGTTAAAATTCAGTTTTGTTTCAATTTCACTGCTGATATAATATGATATAATATAACATAAAATAATATAACATAAAAAAGTTAAATATAATATAAAATAAATTAATATAATATAAATATTATTTAAATTTTATTAAATTTTATTATATTGTATTGTTATATTATATTATATTAAAATATAATATAATCTAAAATAAAATAAAATAATATAAAATAATATAATATAATATAATATACATATGATATAACATAACATAAAATATTATAACATAAAATTGTTTTAATAAAAATAATATAATCTAAAATAATATAATATAATATAATATTCTAATATAATATAATATAATACATATAAAATAATATAATATAAAATAAATTAATATAGTATAATATAAAATAATATAATATAATATAATAAAATATAAAATAAAATAATAAAATAATATAATATAACATAACATAATATAATAGAATAGAATAGAAAATAAAATAATATAAAATAGAATAGAATAGAACAAAGTAGAATATATAACAAATATACAAATTTAATAAACAGTGCTTTAAATGGTTTTCTAACAACAGTCTAACAGTATTGAGGTAGATTAAATAATCTAATATAAAATAACACCATATACAATAGTCACAATATAAAGTGGATTAAAAACGTCCCTCAAAGTTACCCTGAAACATTTGACTTTTTTTGGTCCACTTAAAATGTTGATTGGAGTAGTCGACTATGTAGAAATAATTACCTACAAATAATCTTTGTTTAAGCAATGAAGTTGATCATTTCTAGTGTCTAAGGGATTTAAATTTGCTTGAGATCCTACACTCCTTCTCTTGCTTCGAGTTTTAGTTTTGTTTCTAGTCCAAATATCTACAAATTTTTAAAATTAGAAGCAAACAAGTGAAACAACTTATTAAGGTGTCTATTCCCAAAATATGCTCATAATGCTGATTTTTCAAATTATTTGCTCTCATGCGAATTTTTATTGTTTTTAAATATTTCCCAAATAATGTTGAACAGATTCAGGAATTTTTTCACAGTGTGTCTGATAATATTTTTTCTTTTGGAAAAAAATCTTATTTATTTTATTTGGGCTAGAATAAAAGCAGTTTTTAATAGTTTTTAACTCATTTTAAGCTCAATATTATTCGCCCCTTTAGCAATAATAGCGTTGGATAGTCTCCAGAATAAACCACTGTTAAACAATGACTTGCCTAATTACCCTAACTTTACCCTAATTACCCTAGTGAAGCCTTTAAATGCCACTTTAAGCTGAACACTAGTGTCTTGAAGAATATCTAGTCTAATATTATGTGCTGTCATCATGACAAAGAGAAAAGAAACCAGTTATTAGAAAACTATTGTGATTGGAGATGTGTTGAAATGTGTTCCCTCCCTCTGCCATCTATATTTTTATTCTGAAATGTATAAGCAGTTCTTTAAATATGAATAAATTTAATATTAAAATAAAAATTCACACCTCCAGGCATCAGAGCTCCACCTTCGCCAGGAAAAATAAATAAATAAAATAAAGTAGTGTCTGCGAGTTAGGCTGTTAGCAAGCCGTTGTTCCTGATGTTTGCGAGGCTTTGGTCTGGCAGCTCGAGATAATGACTTGCAGATTTTCCATCAAGTCGTTTGTAAATAAAAAGCAGCATTTCCTGTTTCCCGAATGCCTGTGGGAAACTTCCTCCAGTGTTGAACAGAAATCTCTGACAGCACGACTGACCAACAGCTCGCGATTTTAATAAACATCACATCTGGAGAATTTACTGCGTAACAGCGAGTGCATTGTGTGGAAATATCTGGACGTGCGTGACACTATTCAGTCCACACAGAAGAGCCTCTGAAGCTGGTTATATTGGTATTGGACTGCAGTTTTCCTCATGAGAGTCATGTGGGGTTTTATTGTTTTCTCTAGTAAATGATAAAGTAATATAGACGCAGATTATAGATTAATACCAGTGAGCCTATCACATGTGAAAACTGAACATATACAAGGGTTAAAATGAAAAACAAGTAAATTAATGTATATGTTAATACATTACAAATAAATAAACAATTCTGCGTACTTTCGCTACATTTGTTTTGGTTTCGTGAGTCATTTTAACTATTTACGTGCGCACTTGTGTATTGTTGATAAAACCGCACAGGTAAGTGTTAAATATTCGACATTCAATATTCAAATATTCGACATCCAATATTCAAATATTCGACATTTAATATTCAAATATTCGACATTCAATATTCAAACATTCGACATTCAATATTCAAACATTCGACATTCAATATTCAAATATTCGACATCCAATATTCAAACATTCGACATTCAATATTCAAACATTCGACATTCAATATTCAAATATTCGACATTCAATATTCAAACATTCGACATTCAATATTCAAACATTCGACATTCAATATTCAAATATTCGACATTCAATATTCAAACATTCGACATCCAATATTCAAACATTCGACATTCAATATTCAAACATTCGACATTCAATATTCAAATATTCGACATTCAATATTCAAACATTCGACATTCAATATTCAAACATTCGACATTCAATATTCAAACATTCGACATTCAATATTCAAATATTCGACATTCAATATTCAAACATTCGACATTCAATATTCAAACATTCGACATTCAATATTCAAACATTCGACATTCAATATTCAAATATTCGACATTCAATATTCAAACATTCGACATTCAATATTCAAATATTCCACATTCAATATTCAAACATTCGACATTCAATATTCAAATATTCCATTCAACATTTAAATTATTTTAAATCAACATTTGTTCTTCTTAATTTGATATTTATATGATTGTGCTTGTTAAAAATATTGTATCGGTGCACTTCATCATTTTGTACAATTTTATTTGCCCTCAAAACCTTTTATGAAACACCATAACCTTCCCTTGTCCTCAAAACGACATTGCTTCACTTCTGGTCACATGGAATGCTTTCAGGGCAGGGCTATGAGTCATTTTGGGCAGGGCCATCCATCCTTTAAGGCGGAGTTATCATTCTTTCAGGGCTGGACCATTAGA